TTCCTCCTGGACGTGGCATCACCAAAAGCAATGATAATCCCATTGTTGCAGACATCTCCTTGTTTGTCCATTGTTATATCCACTTGGTAAACAGAGAACCACTTGACCAGGTTTTATACTTTCCGTGTCTGTGTCTGCTTGGGTCCCAACGACATAAATTTCATCACCAAGGCTTTGCACAAATGTCCGTGTAGCTGCCTGTTTTTTGTGACCGCGCAGACTGTTCTACAGAGAATGTATATTACAATTGACTAGCTAGGGATGTGCCCAGGCAACAAATTTCAAACAAGTATAACAGCAATGACTACTCGGCCACCGGGTCCCCAGCTGTCAATGTTTGCAACAAGAGTATAATCCAAGATTTAGGCTTAAGGAGACATTTCGGCCACATGCTAATGAAGTCTAGTTTCAGAAAATACAATATATTGCTTGACATATCAACTATACCAACATGAAATTTGTCTTTAACCTCCTAGGACCTGGCGTCCACATATGTGGACATCACATTTTGGGTTGTCTAGACCAAAATACAGCATTTTGCTCTACAAGGGCCTGATATCCACTCACGAGGACATTATACTGCCACTGTTCTATCGAAATTTAAAACAAATGTCCTCATATGTGGATCTCATTTTCTCAGAAACAAAAATCAGGTAAAAAACAAAACAAAATCTGGTAATTCTCAAATGAAAACCCTGAAGTTCACACAACATGTCAAATCTTTGTGTTGCTTTGTTTTGTTTGTCAAACCATTAACTACACCTGCCAACTCTTTGAGCCAGTGAGGCAAACCAACAACCCACAGGTCTGACACAGAGACCAGCCACCATTCATGCTAGTAAAATCTTTGAAAAACATGCATCTTTCTGGAGATAAACCAAAGTCATGCAGTTCCAGTGTTGAAAAAAAGCCAGCAGGTCTCAATTTCACCATTTTATTCAGGCCATGTTAACAAATAAGCTCATGTTTTGGTGCAGTGGTCATGTTGAAACTTAGATTTGTTAGCTGTTTTCACACCGTTTCATATTCAGCATTGGAAGCATTCATGATGTTCACAGGTATTTCAGATGAGCCAGTCAGCCTTTTAGCTCCAGGTCTTTGGACTGTGGGAGGACAACTGATCACCTGGAGGAAACCCAGCTGGCAGGTTCCAACCCAGAAAGGCGACTAAGTACTGCACCACCCTTCTCTGTTTCATTTATAACAGATTAACCCTGCTCCATGTGTCGCAACAAAACAACCAAAACCCAACCTGGGCCCATTCACAGAGGAGACGTGTAAGAACTGCTTATACTCATATCACAAATGGCGCCAGGATGTAGTTACATAAATGAAACAGGATGCTGCTAGTCTGTCATGTGCTGATACATGGGTTTCTTTCCATTACTGACGTAGGACCATACAGCTGTACCCCCGTGAACATCACCTTTAGGTCAGGCAGTGGAATATAAATCCTACAACTGCAACATTAATTGTACTCTCGTTATAAAAACAAGATCAAGTCAACTTTGACCTTAATATTTCTTAGTTATAGCTTATAGCTGCTACCTTAAAATTTAAGCCCTTTACCCACTATTTTTAGTGACTGGCTCCAACTTTTCTGAAAAAAATTATTTGCCTTGAGCTACCCCTCGTTTCTTTGGATTTTGCTTCTAAAGAGCCAGACTTTCTTACAACTTTTTAAAGTAGTCTTAAGTAATGGTTCTCCAGGCTTTCTGAAGGTCTTTCTTTCAAAACTGACTACTTTTTCACTCATATTCAAGCCATATCATGTATCTGATAAGTGTTAGAAGTACTTGCCCTAAAAAAAATAAGTTCCAAATTACACAAGAACTAACTGAAAATCAGTGACAACAGGTCTGATGGAGCGAGTCGTCATGTATGGAGCACGGTGGAGACTCTGTCACGGTTTGGCACTGAGTTTCAGCCAGTGTTGAGGATCTTATAAAAACTGATGAAAAATTAAAAACTACTGTCATATTTTGATCCACCATGCAATACCAGCTTGCTAGAACAGAATAGCTTTCATATACTGTGTTTCCATGCACGTTTCAGTAAATCACCTCATGTATTTCCTATTTTTCTTGCAAAATATTAAAGGAATGAGGGGTGACTCAAGACTTTTGAACAGCACTGTAGATAATATTTTAATTTGACCTTGAGTAACCTACACAATACTCCTAACTTCAAACCCATTCAGGACCGCTTTAATAAACTGGAACACACACTCTGAGTAAGACCTTATCTAAACACCCGGACGTAAGTAATGCTCCTGTGGCAGAATGGGAGCATATCCCTGCAGGAATCCAACATCTTTTAAGCGTTTATCTGCAGTCACTTCCCACCAATATTTGGCAGGAAGATATACTGTATAAATAAAAACGTAAACGACAGAACGAACAAAGAGCGATGAAGTTTGTCCTCTAGAGCAACTCCGCAGTGATAAACATCTAAAAGAAGCCAGTGAAACTGTAATAAAGTCGCCGCGTGAAACAGTCAAAAACAGACATTATTTATTCATGCAGTAAGAAACACAAAGCAGGCAGCAGCGCATCCATAGGAAAAACATTTTATTGAAAAACATTTTCAGTTTGTAACAGACTGGTGGAATGTGTGTCATTTATCCTCACGTTGAACTTGTTTTAAAGTTTTGAATGTTAAAACCATTTTTCACAGCCTGGCCATCTCATACTGCGAGGAAAAGGGGAGAACCATGACATGACTAAAGAAAACCAGGGGGGACGAACAAACAATGCAAATATAATACTGTGTTACTGACAAACCGGACTGAACTCAAATTATCAACAGAACAGAAGAAAAAGAAGAAAGAAACAAAAAGAAACTAATTCAATAAATATTTATGGTACACACTTATGGCACAAATATGCAGCAGTCAGTTTGGCAACTTTTCTCTCTTTTCTTATTTTTTTTTAAACCAAATTACAATGGAAACAGTGCAAAAGGGGAGGGAGTGGGGAGGACACGGGCTTTCCATCGAGCGCTAGCTAAAATACATAGCAAAAAATTCAAATTTTATACAAAACATCTTACTTTAAGAGTTTATAAAAATGATTTTATTGGGTTCTGGTCAATATTTACATAAGCTATTTACCAAAAAAGTAGTATGCTCTGTTTTACTGAAGTGAATTCCATTTTTCTGTATTTTTCGCTTCCATTTACGTTCCTAAAAAGGTGAATAAGGCTATTGTAACAACCCAGGATCCATATACAATACAAACATTAATGTATTTACAGTTTCTTACCTACAGAAGTACGGTGCAAAATTACTGAGTCAAGTGACCAAGGGCTGACCATACGAGCAAGGCATTTTACAGTAGCCTGAGGTGCTTCTCTTAGCTTGCGTGCTGAGACTCTCACGGCGTCGCTACGATATTTCCAAGCAGGTCGGAGCACACCTGTCGACGCTGGGAAAGCGTTAGCAAAGCTAAGAAAAGGACGCCAGATTCAAAGAAACTAATAAGATTGTCATATTCTGCCGCAGACAGACAGCAACTAAACAGCCATTTCTCTTTTCTTAAATACCTGTTTGGGTGTGATACATATGCTTTTTAATTGTTTCATTTTTCACAGTTTACCTTTGTACTACGGCACACGGTCAGAACAGAAGAAGTTCAAATAATACTAGAAACGATGCAGGAACTCAAAGCTAACAGCAGGCTTGTGTTTTGTGGTGTTGGTTTGTTGTTACATCTTTCAGTGGTTAAGAACACTTTCCATAGGTGGTTTTTTTTTTTTTTCCTCAGAATCGATTTAAAAAAATAAATAAGAATTGCATATTTGCAGATTTTGTAGCCTCTCAGAGGCACAAACCTCAGATCATACAAGGCTTGGCTTTTTCGGTGAAATTTGATCATGTACGAATGAGGATGATATATGCTCGGGGGCAGGCCTACGCCAAAGATATTCATGAATGTGAAGTCACTGAAATGCACACGCACACACTCGCACAATCACACGGAGAACATGAGGGGTGTGTATGAGGAGATTCGGGCGCACTGGGTGTTCATGGGAGTTATCCTTTGGGAGATGCTACACTGAGTGAGCGTGGGAGACACAGCTACTCTGCCCTTGTGTACACCAATGTGAGCTATTTAGGGTCAGGTTAACTCTCCTCCCCTGGTCCTCCTTCCCAGGACCGAGCCAGAAAGAATACGGGACTCAGATTAAAACCGTTTACTCTTGGTATTCCTTTAACTATCACCAAAAATATACGCATATAACGGCCGACAACCGTAAACTGAGCCGGAAAAATATGGGACTTAGCGGCTGATTCCTGTATTCTTTCCATTCTTTCCATCTTCGCAGTCAACTTGCTAATAATCTGTTAATTCGTAGCTGACTGAGTTGAAAAACTATGGTGGTCTGTGGCTGACAACAGATTTTTTTTTTTTATCAAGTGGGTAAAAATCTGAGACTTGGTAGCCAGTTCAAGGGCCAGTGGCCAGCTCCTGGTTTATTTTACTAAGTGGGGGAAAAAAATCCAGGATTTTTTTGGTAAAAATAAAATATGGGATCCGGTAGCCAACTCCTGGGAAAGAGACACCTCTATTCTGGAAAAAATACTATACTTTTAACCGGGTAAGAAAAAGAAAAATAACGGACTCAACAGCTAACTTGTGGAAAGAATACAGGACTTAGCGGCTGACTTGCGGGAAACAACACAGGACTCCCGTATTCTTTTCCGGACCTCAGCAGGATTCCGAGATATTAGATAATCAAAAACCTAGATTGCATATTGTGCACTTATACCATTAATATATTAACATTACTTCTTCTCCTTACCGCCTGACCACACCTGTGCTCTGTATGTGTTTATCATAAATAAATTCTGCTTTTTATTTTTTTTGTAATTTTTCATCTTTTAATGTTATTTTTTTAAATGTACATCTATTTAATAAAAAAAAGGAAGTAAATCGAAAACTCACAATATGGAAATGCTAATGAAGGAACAGTAACGATGTAAGTAGATGTCCCTGTGCTTTTTTTTTTTTTACATGTTTTTTTTTTTTAAAGGAGAGCACCGTTCACACTGATTTGGGGCCATTTATTTTAAGGGGGCCCTTTTATTCATCACTGGACCCCTTGGGGTAAACGTTACAGTACCTAGAGCTGTTTCAGCCAGCTAACTTCTGCAAGATCTCGGGCCTCTTGGACTTTTAATTCCATCACTTCTCCGTGTCAAGGCCCAGATCAGAGGTGACTAAATCTGCCGGGATACAGCTGCTCTCCCATCTCCATCCGTCACTGCGAACCTCTCTGTGGACTGCGAAGAGTGGAGGGGCCAAAGAAATAAAAAATAGGGGGTTAAAAGTGCTGCACTATAATGTGAAAGTCCTCCACTCTTCCCAGAAGCCACCTGGGTTTATTTCTTTTTTGGACACTCTTGCCATTCCGAGTCACCTGAACTATACCAGGATATGAAAAACAGTAAACCGTAAAAGGAGTGTGGGCGGGGTCTATTTTTCTCTTAAAACCTTCAAGTAAGAGAAGTGACAAAATGTGGGAATGAGGCGATCCACACTAACACCCAAAACAGTTCACATCGAGAGGTGAGACAGTGTGTCTGTGCCCGAGGGTGGATGTGTGTGCGTGATGGTGGGTGGCAGGATTAATGGGGTGATGTCCGTGAGTCACTCAGGAAAAAGTCCCAGAGAGGATTGATGGGTGCGAGAAGCTCCACAGAGTCTTTTTCCGGCCAGTGAGTGTCAAGGGGCGAGGAGGCCGCCGTTTGGTGAGTCCACGGTCAGACCATATCCTCTTTTAATTCTTCACCTCCTCATTTTATTCCATCTCTTCTCCTTCTCGCTTTCCAAGCAGAAGTCTCTCTTTACGCGAGGAGAAAATAATTCCTTATCTCATCCTCCTCAGGAAACCTTCACACCTGTCTGTCCATCTCCAAAAAGAAAAAAAACCTTCCCGATCCCACAAACACTCCCACAGGAATGCCGGCTGCCGCAGTGCACAACACAAGACAACACTAGGGAAAGAAGAGAACGTCTTCTCTGCTTCCCGGAGAGCAGCAGCAGTGGCGGCGGCAGCAACAGCAGCAGCAGCGGTGGGCTTCACTACAGGGCCGCCACGCGTTCCCGTCCATGCCAAATCAGAGCGACAAGGTGTCAGCAAAACTCCCAGAAAGAAAAATAAAGTAGTGACAAAACATCAGAGGAGAGGAGGAGTTGACAGAGTGAGAGAGAAAAAGAGTGTTCATTAGCAGGGTGTGCCGGCCGCGCCTGCCGAAGCCAAAAACCCGCTCTGCTTCGTGAATTGTTCCAGTTCCTGCTTCCGCCTCAGACTTTGTAGTAGATGTTAGCCGGACTCTGAGGCGGCATCTCCTGAACTATGTAGACCGGGTGTCCGTAGTCACCGCTGACCTTCTCGTAGTGCGGGCAGAAGACGCTGTCAGCAGTCCTGAGCGGGATGATGATGTCGCTGGGCTCCGAGCCGTTATTGTTCCCGCCGCCTCCGCTCCGCTTCGGAGTTGCCAGGGTGCTTAGAGACAGCGTCGCTGCGTGTTGTGGTGAGTGCTTGCGGTGCCGCCGCCGGTACTTTAGTAGCAGCAGGACCAGCACGACGATGATGATGATTAAGATGACGCTGCCAGAGGCAATGGCCACAAAGATGGCCACCTCGGAAGGCATGACGTTTGAGGACTTGCCGTCGCTCCCGTTGTTTTCGTTGCTTTCTCTGGATGCTGGACCTGAAAGAAGAGAGAGAGGAAGGAATGATTAAGATGATGTCAGATTATTTGTCGTGCATGCTTTTTTTCTCAAAAACACAGAAGCGGTAAAACAGCATATTAAGATCATTTTCATTAGCCCTCCCAAAACCGTAACTATGACTACAAATCTTTTTAAACATATTATAGTCTGCCAGATCCCAGGAAAAGCAAAGAAATAGTCAAATAAAGCATTATTAGTAATACTTCTTATAACCTATTGACAAAAATCCAAAAGCTATTACAATGCATCCCACTTTAACATGACACATTTCTGATTGGCTGGCCCTTATAAACAGTAGGTTTCAACAGCAGGTGGGTGGGGCTTCCGTGCCTATGACATCATACAGATCCAAGAATAGAAAAAAAACTGCAGTCTCTAAACTGAGAGCTTTTTGGCCGTCAGTAATAAGAATTCCCATCACGCATATGAGGGAAAATAAGGAAAAGCAGAATAGCTCAATGTTAAAATCGAAGCTGATAAGGTGTTTCTCTTCACCATACTGCTGCCATGAGCAGCTGAGAGTGAAGCCTATACACTGAAGGCGTTTCTGTAAAGGTCACATTCGATTGGTGGCCATTCAGATTCAGCAAGTGAAAGCAGCAACCTTGGAAGTAGGGCAAACGCAGCCCGATGGGACAAACAACGGTTGGGGAGACGCAGGCAAAAACGGCACTTAGACAAATAGCATTTAGAAAGAAAAAAACAACAACTTAATTTTCCAGACTAATTGCCCTCAAAGGAAGAAAATCATAAAGAAATATTTGAGGTTGTCATCATGGCACATCAGTTATGAAAGCCAAGCTGCTCTTACTCCTAGGGAATAGAACTCTAAGGTGAGCGTGCTCCCAAGAGATCCTGTTCTCGAGATGGGAGTTTGTTCGTGGGCAGGCCAGAATAATCGTGTCCCCTCATCTGTGGCTACTTCCCATAGGGCCTCAAAGTGCTGTGGTAACAAGAGGGAGATGGATATGGGATGGCAGGCAGCCCAAAGCAAGGACCCTTCGGCTGTTTTACAAGAGGATTATGCTGCCTCAGCCTGTAGCACCCTGACGCCCATATGCTCCGATAGGATGGAAGGATTTGATATTAAAAAAAGAAAATGAGAAACGAGAGCGAGATGCTGACGTCCACAGAGAGCAGAAGCTGAGCAAGGCCACGCCCTCACTGAACCACGACTGCTTATGTAGGTCAGCTTGCTTTTGTTCTTAACTCCTTCCTGGTTTTTTTGTTACTTCACTGCAGGAATTGCCTGATTGCCCAGTCCTGATTTTTTAATGTATCATTTTTTTTATTTTTTACATGGGGAGATTGTGCTGTAATAGAGATAAGAGCTGTAGAAACTTGCAAGAACCGAGTCAGAATGGGTCATTAAGACACGGCAAACAGCAATCAGATCATTTTCTCGAAAAATGTCTCTTAATGTCCCGGGTTGGTGCTGGAGCGGGGCCAGTCTGGAGATACTGTGCAAGTCCTTGAAGGGGCCGGAGATGCCTATCAGTTTTATGGACAACATTCAATTACTAGCTGACCTTTCATTCCTTCACACAAACACACACTAACTCAGCACTATCTGCTCTGAGATGGGCGAACAATCATGCGCCCCAAATGCCAAATTGTTTCGATAAATCCTCCCCTCAATTACCTCCCTGTCTCTGTATTTAGAGTAATTCTTACTTGATTTCTCCAGCACATCGTTGGGGTTGTAGGGCTCCTTGTTATCTGGGTGCTTGGGGGAGGAGGGTACTCTGGTAGGGTCTTTGGGTGAGACGGGATCAGAAGGATCTGAAAAATGCAGATAAGAAGCACAAGGATTAAACCAGGGCTGTTATAATCCAAATCTCATGAGAAAACATGAATTTTAACTCAAATCCTAATATTTTTCTAAATCTAACAGGATAGTTTTTACTGTCTAAACGTATTAATACTTAAACCTAACCAAAAAATTTTATTACCAGTATTAAACAGTATGTATATTTTTTACCGAACACAAAAGACATCAAAAAGTTCAACTTTTGAAAGCTGAGATTATTTCACGAACATTCGTGAGACTGTGTTGGTTTAAACAAGATGGTAAAACTAACAGAAGGAGTAATGCTAGGCTATAAAGATTTTTTTATTTCTCATGGTGGTACAGCCAAATCTTTTCCACTGATTCCACATAAAGGCAAGCTGTTTTCCCTTCATGACTCTGATATGACTGTAATCAACCATAAAGAGCTGCTAATGGTTGAGTTTTAGCTTCCACAATGAACCCATATGGTTTTAAATGCTGATAAAGTGTCTGTCAGCGTACGTGTTTTCTGGTTTAAACGCCGAACACACACTAAATGACGGAGTCATTCGCCGAGCATCTGCTGTTATAATCTCCGGGCTGAACTCTGTGCCGGAACCGCTCTCTGTCGAACATCGCTTTCAATAAATGCAGTGATTTATGCGCAGCTCGCATCAACATTTATAAGAAAACCATTTTCACCGTCTGTTCTGTCTTTCCTTCGATTAATTCCTCCTGACCCTCAATAGAGAGGGTCGACCCCGGGAAATTACCTCTCTGGTGACAGACTGGTGAATAATTATTGGTCCAATATGTCTGAGGTGTTGCATGCAGAGGCTCACAGATCAGAAAACTGGAAAGCCTTCGACCAGAGCGTATAGGAGCAGATGCTACCAGTGCATGGAAGCATACGGGATTACGTGTGTCTGTTTGGTTGAATTAACTTCTGCTAGATTACATTTCCTGGCCCATCACAGCCCCAGGTGTCATGGAGACGATGCTTTAACACACGAGCCTGCAATCCAACTATGAAATACTCACTTTGTCCCACTTTCATGACAATCTTCATGGACTTGGTCTTGCACACGCCACCCTCCTGGTTGTCAATGCCCTCCATGGTGCCGTTAGATGTTGCTGCAGAAAGAGAAAAAGAGAAAGGTCTGAATTAGCCACCAGCGCCAGGGAAAAATCTGTAGCCACGAACACCTTAAAGCTATCTCACAAAAACAGCCAAAGACAACAGCAGCAGCTCGGCGGCAAGACACGACTCACACCCCCGTTAATAAAAATCACAATTTGCCGTTCATCACCTCCTACAAACTGTATTAGCTCAAGTAAATGCGACAGTAATGTCTCTAACTGTGCTGACACGGAGGCAGTTAGAAGAGGACTGGGATGAGAGGGCCCATGCTGAAAATTCGGAGGCAGGAATATTGGAGTAAGCCGTAAGCCCTTTATTAAAGACGAACACAGTTTTTAGATAGTGAAAGACATTAAATGCTTCAATGTATGATAAAATACTGAACTAAATTAAAGACAATTAAATGATTTGTTCACAAGTACAATTAAATATTTAGATTTTAAAAAACAAAAACTGAAATTAGAAAACAAAGTCCCAGTCCCAGAAGTAAAGCTCGGCTTTTCCTACATATAAAAATATTTCGGCACCCACCAAATAGGTTCTGACCTTCTTCCAAAGGAACATCACCAGGACTGTGGGGTGGGTTTTAATTTACTCCAGGTTGAAATACAATGCTGTTTATTAAATACCAAGAAATAAGAAGAACAGGCTTCTATCTAGCTAACAGGCGTAACTATACGTGGACCGGTCGTCCGTGAGAGCAACACCTGGTGAGGGTGGGGATTCAGAACTCCCTTTTAACCATAAAAGGGAGCTCGGGTAACCTCCAGAAAAATTATATTAATTAAGGCATGAAGTAGTTTTTTAGTGCAACTCCAAGTGGCTACACCCCTAAGGCAAGCCTACCTACAGATTTGCTAAAAGGTATATTCTGGCCAAAAATGACTTCTGGCTCCCTCACAGTAAGACTGACCTTCAGAGCGAGTACCTCCTGATTTTTATATAGCTAATGGCAGTAAATATTTGGATGGCTCTCAAATGAAATGAATTACGAGATCTTAAAAAAATGTTTAGATACGAGGAAACAGGAACTCTGGAAAGGTGGACATGCACAAATATGGCCCACTGCTTCACCTCTCCGCTGCCTCTGGAGGACGCTGGCGGAGTTGCCGCTGAATCACAACAGAGAACAGGCAAACACAGAGAGGAGGATGAAGAGGAGGGGTTAGTGGAGCTTGTGGTCTATCAGGTCAGTAACACAGAGAGCTAACGAGCTGCCGGGGCTTAGTAGCTTGGCTTTCGGCCAGCGCTCAGTGGCCCGCATTCAGCGCCACTTACTCCCTGAAAAACATCATCACATCCCGATCGAAACAGGTCTGAAATTTTAACTGTGCCTCCTCCTCGTCCTTCCTCTCTTTTCTTTTCCTCCCTTGCCCAGGCACCAATCATTTTGATCCAAATCCACTGGATTCAATAAGACGGTGATGAGAGCGGACACAAAGAGCATGTTAACAAGGACTCCCTCCTCCTCCTCCTCTCTGGCTGACCTATGGCTTTCCAGGAGAGTCCAAAAAGCACATTACAGACAAAGCTCCTTATAGGCTCCTCGTGAGAGTGTGAGCGCTGATTTTATAAACCTGTTAGTTCAACACGCTTGAGTTTTAGTATCTTCAACCACCGTGAGGCGTTAACTACTGTCACCTCCTCTTCTTCTTCTCCCCTTTTTGCCCCATATCACCATTTAACCCATCGGTAGCTGAAACACCTCTCCTTTTTAAAATAAACCCCTTTGTAATCTAATCCCTCTCAAACACGGCTGCACCAAATAAAAACACATTCAATCTGGAGTCATTTTAAACTTTTAAATTCTTCTTCTTCCCCTTTAAATGTGAAAACACACACTCTCCGTGTGCCAAGGCTGCAGTCCAGGCGAGCCTGACTTGGATTTAAACAGAATGTGATTGTTGAATCGGCTCAGGCTGGCTGAATGACCAGGCCCTCCTCGGCCAGCCCGGCAATTGGCCACTTTTTCCCACTATCTGGCTAGCATTAACCAGCTAATCCATCCTGCTGGGGGTTTGCTTGGTGGAAAGAAGGAAGGGGGGGTGGGGTGGATGGGACAGACCCCTCAGAAAATGAATTTAGTCACCAACTACCACTAGAAAGAGGAGGCGCGTGACCTTCGGGAAGCACGGGGAGAGCGAAAAGGAGCGGAAAAGGTCAGATTTTCCTTCAGAATTGGCAAAAGAAAGGCCAGACTGTGACAGCTCGTAAAGTCACACACCTTCACAACAAATGGTAGTCGAAAAGAGTCCTCACTCAGTGAAATCAGCCTCAAGCAAATCCCCCATCCTCTCCCTCCTAACTTCATTTTCTCCTGTTTATCAAATCAAGAGGGTGGAAAATCACCCCGTGTTTAACGAGACAGTCAATTGTGAGCTGAGCTGCAATCCAGATAAAGACTGTGAGAGCAGCTCTCAGCTGGTTTTAATTTCTTTTCTCCTAAACAGCGAACAGCAGGAACAAAAATAAGGAAACCTTGAGGGCTCCAGATTTCTCAGCTGACTCTATGATAAGCATGTGATGCTTTAGAGAGACCACGAAGAACAAACTACAGCAGAGGAGGGACAGAAGATAACTACCTGGATTCTGCTGGTTCAGAGCCGCTGTGGTTTGACTAATATGAACACATTAGCACAGGGAAGGATGGCGAAAGAGGGTAAGTTCATGTTCGCCTCTCCCCAGTGGGTTGAGACAAACGTGTGACATGGCAGGAAGAAGATGCTGAAAACAGACCTAACTTCAGAAAAGAGAACGTCTAAGATGATCCATCTACAACATGATCATAATCTCAGTCTGCCCGAGTGAGATTCTTCTCTGAAACGACACCGTGAGTTTCTAAAGATGTGCTGCACAATGAATGGCCTCATTTTTAAAAAAAAAGCTGTCTGAGAATGACTCCTGGAAAAACGATGAAGAGACCCTCAGATCCGGAAACACGGTCGATATGTCATCACTCAAAATGCAGACTGGGATAATGTGGCACTATGAGGTCTTGAAGATCATTCAAAACAAAAATGTTCCTCTAATTCCGGATTTACCACTCTTTTGACATTTCCGAGTCCCGATTTAAGCCTTTCCCCTGATCTGGTTTTACGTAACTCTCAGCAAAAAGATTAATTATTTGTATTTCAGCTTTGTAAAACTGTCCCGCTCATGCTGCCAGATTCCCTGAGTATAATTAATACACAATGCACTGCCGAAAGACAAAGCTGGGCCGCCCATAAATAGTAGAACAGAGACATGGCGGCAGACGGAGAGGAAAGTAAGGAAAAAAAGAAACGATGGATGGATGGATGGATGGATGGGTGGATAGAAGATGTGATTACCAGCCGTCGTGCAGGTCACGGGCTGGTTGGCGCCCGTCACAGCAGCGTGTCCTAATGGATCGTGACAGGAAGGGTCGGCAGTGACCCTCGGAAAGAGGTCGCGGCAGAGCCGGGTCATCGTGAATATCAACGCTCGCTCACAAATACGATTTTAAAAGCAGAGTAACACGAAAAAGAAAAAAATCCACGTTTTGACGCATGCATTCGAATTCTTTCAATCAGACATTTAACGAGGAAAGCCTTTCTCACGAGAAAGAGGAGGAGAAGGGTGACGGTGGAGTTTTGGCTCCTCCTGCTCCTCCTGCCCTCTTTAGCTCATCTTTCCCTTACTCTGTCTGCTGCTATCCTCCCTTTCTCCCTCGTTAGCTCCCTTTCTGCCCCCTTTCCCTCCACATTCATCTCTCTCTGCCTTTCTTCTTCCTCTTCGGCTCATGTAATCATCTCGCTCGCAAGCTTCTCGGCTGCAGGCCACGCTGCCGCAAACAATCACATCAAACTCATCTGCTCCCAACTGCAGCAGCATTGTGTGCGGCTGCTTCAAAGAGGCACGCAGGCCGATACAGGACACACAGCTGCATCTTTAAACGTATCCGACCAGAAAGCCCCGAACGTAAAGAGCGGCGAGCAGGGAGGTCGAACGTGCCTGTCTAATTTCGGCCGAGCTTTGGCACAATACTCAACACGAGGCAGCGCTAGCTAATCCAATTGGTTGAGACTCCAAATCTGTGGCATTGGTGCGGGGGCCTCGGCAATTGTGAGAAGAAATGGAGGATTAAACAGCGCTTAATTAATTACGTATCAAGCGCTGCTTTCCAAAACACTAATGAAATGCTCGGCGTGAACTTTCCTGAAGCTGTGTCACACTTCGATGGAAGTCTGTATATCAGTTGACAAACACACACACAGGAGCTTTCAGTTTAAACAAGCCAGACTGCAGGGCTACTTTAGGCCCAGCTATGGCACTTGTCAGGCATGACTCCAAGAAAACTGCAAGTATGGGCCACATTTGGCCCTAACATTCAGTCCATTTGGACCAATTCCAAGTCCAAAGTTGGTCCAGAGGTGGACTAAACAACCTATAGCGTTCCTAAAAGTAGAAGAAGGATGTTTGGAAGTATTATCCTAGATTCACCCCAAACGTGGACCTACACAGGCTAAATGTGGACCTGAATCGGTTTTATCAAGATTACCCAGATGCAGACCTACTCAGCCAAATCCGGGCAACCTTCAGTTCAAGCGGGGGTTAAGGTTTACAGGAAGTGTTTTGTGGGCCACACCACACCTGACATTTGATCCACGTAAGGTGGATCTGGGCCAAACATTAATTTGTATCTGGAATGGTGTTGATTAGGGTTAAGTGTCAACCCCACATGGTGGCTAATGTGCGCTAAAATGCTCCCAAAAGTCAAGGCTGACATGTGGGCCAAATGTGGAACCACACATATTGTGGACCTACATGGGCTAAATCATGCTACATATCAAATAACGAACACAGATGTCACACCACACCTGACATCTGGCTCATATGAGGCGGATCTGTGGCTCAGGTGCGGCTGCCAAACGTGCCCTGAGTCAGCGCCGTCATTTAAGGCCAAATGCGGGAAAAGCACTTAGCACTGTCTCAGGTGCTGGCTCGCTTTAGCGCTGCAAGGTAATGGCAACTGCACGCATCTTTTTTCTTTTCTTTTTTTGTTGTTGTTGATGTTTACTCGTGCAAAGCGCCACCATGCAGCTGTTAAAGCTGCAGAAGTGGGACCAGAGCTAACAGAGGAGAAAAGTGAGGCAATTAAAAGTAAAACTCTCCCTCTCTCCCCTCTTCGGGCTATGTATTAGCATTTTGAGGGGAGCTGTGAAGGGAGGAGCGAGGATGAATCTGCAAGAACTGCAAAATTGGATTTTCCGACCATCTTTTTTAAGAATTGAACTTTCCCACCGCCCCTTTCTCTTCCAACTTGTCGACTCGGCAGGACGCTGAGTTTCTTTAGCGTGAAACTGAAGGATTTACAGAGCGAGAAGGACGCACAGCGGACGCAACCTCAGGCTCCGCGCTGTGTAAACACCAGCTCATCAATAATTAACATCAGCTTTTGAGGTGGAGGGAGCCGAGGAGGAGACATCGCGTCAGTCAGAAGCCTTTGTAGTCCATGTGCACCTCCTCTAACACCAAAGTGAGCATACAGAAGCTAAAAGAAACATCTAACCTGCTATATTTACCTGAATACAAACCTCACCTGCAACACAGTTCAAGTACCTGTCAGACATGCCCCACCATGCAAATAACCTGCAGCTATGACCTGTTAGAGCAGCTACTCTTACATGTTTGCTTGAAGTTAAGAGGAGGGTGTTGTACCTGCAAACCTGTTACCTGCACGTTTGTTTTGCAAACATTCGGCCTCCTGGATAAAAAGCAGTATTTCCTGCTCTCCTTTCATCCCCTCTTCTCCCTGCTTTCTTCCCCTTCCTTCACTCATAAATATGGCCTTCCCCTTCTGTGACAGCTCACAGATGGCAGTGGCAGAGACTCGCAGATGGTCCCCCCACCCTCCACCCTCCGTCCTCTGTCAGCGCCACACAGATGGTTCAGTCCACCTCCCGTGTTTCAAACCAGGGGGCCCTCGCTAAGCCCCATACCAGCTTCCTCCCAGGATGGTGTTAATGCTGCACATCGCCAGCAGTCAGCAGCCACACCTGCACCCACAGGACTACAACCATCAAGATAATCAAAGATGATTTTACAGTCACGGGAAACAACACCCAACTTTAAATTTAAACGGATCCAATATGTTTATTTAATAGTTGGATTTTTCTTGGAACTTTGGATTTTCCCTAACTTCTCCTGGAAGCATTTCTGTTTCGATGGCCATCTTGGCAACACCTCAGGGCAGTTATTTTAAAACGATGAATGAATGAGGATAAAGCCACAGGTTTAACTCTATGGTAACCCAGACTTAAAAAGTTTGCTGACTTTGTATAAAAACGAACAACATCATCACTGACTGGATTCAAGCTTAAACATTAACATTTTGGCAACTAGCATGTTGTTGATTTTGAGCCAGAAGTGATTATCTAACAAGTAACATGGAAATAAAAAACTGCCACACCTTTAATGTTGCAAACTTTAAGCCTTGATACAATTTCATGAACCTGTACTGTGCAACAACACGATTGGCTATTTGGGACCAATCAGCCACAGTCTTCTTCACCGTCTTTGCGCTGAATTTGAAGAATCTACAGAGATCAAACTAGACTCTGAAATTTAAGGTATATATCTGTTTAAGGTTAACTCCCCCTTTAATTTATGTAAGCTATAATCTACCACTCTGTGGATACTTACAGATGATGTAGTAGTCCCTTCCCCTGAAGAACTCCAGTCCCCACAGGTTGGGGCTGAACTCCTGAAACTTCAGGGTAAACTTGACGTCCTGGTCGGGCTTGACGCAGTTGAGCAGCGGCGTGTCGGCCTTGGTGATGGTGCAGCTCTCCAGCTGCTCCCTGGGCACCATGTACACCTTGTAGTACTCCACACCCTCGCCAACCCCGCCGTCCACACGTGGGCACACAATGTCCAACTTATCCCCAATCTGGGGGTATAATACCACGCCTTGGCCTGGCACGAATCTGAAAGGAGAGAGGGATGTTAGTGAGGCACCGAAGAACTGATGAGAAGTCATTCATTATGCACTGTGGATTGGAGTGTTTGCCATTGAGCCTCTACATACTCACAAAAAAAAAAGAAAAGTCGGTTTAATAATTGATGTGGTAATTACTGATTGTGTCCATTAATTTTGGATGATGAAGGATAATGGAGGAATGGGAGCTGTGTGTGAGTGTGTGTGTGTGTGGTACAAAGTGACCCCAGTATCTGCAGATAAAAATCACTGAGCTTTTCTGGAAAGAGCGAATAATTAACTGGATAAATGAGGAGAAGGCGGCACGGTTGAGAAAATGGTGGAACATCGCTAGAATACAAAACAGGAAATTTAAAAAAAACCAAAAAACTGTAAAAGCTCATCTCGGAGTTTCAGCAAATCCACAACAATACTGTCACAGAGAGGCAGAGAGCCTGGAGGGTTGCAGCTGAATTTCCCTAAATTTCTTCCCAAAGTAAAATAATGTTGTCATTTAGTTTCCGAGTGATGAGAGCCCCTGCAGCATTCCAGTGACTACACACACACACACACACACACACACAGACACACACTCAGAGGTGAAGCCTCGTATTTATCTGCTAAACAAATTTTCCCCCATGCTCGAACACAATTTGGAGCGCTAACCACGGACACCCTGGAGGCTTTTTACGGTGTGCTGCGAATACCGGTGCACGTAAACACACACGAAGGCAAAGCAAATAATGAAATGTACTCTGGGTTTACGACCAGGAAAATGGGTCTTTACCCCAAAGAAATGGAGCTGAACAGAGAGTCTTACTTGACATGACTCATTACATGTATTCTCTGCTTGTCATGTATATAATGTGTCTCTCTAATGTATTTTGTATAATTTGCCTAAGGGTGTAAGTGCAGCAAGTTTCCTTCTTAAATTATTTTATTTTTGACCATTAATATGCACAGTTCCTATCAAAAAAAGAAACAAATGATACAAAAGCTACTTGATCATTTACTGCATCTTTCTTTTGCTTTTGTTGAAGATGGAATAAAATAATTTAAGGCACACATGGTATAAAATAGCAATAAAGAAAATGTGGAATGAATTATTGATATAGAAAAAGTTGCATGAACCAGCAAAACGGTAGAGTTGGGATGGTGATAATGGTATATAGCAATAAAGTAAAGGTAGGATAAAAAAAATGATTGGGTTTGGATAAAGTACCAATACTGTAACGGACACGGTAATATTTTAATAATTCTTAACCCTAAACTATCAACAAATTATTAACAAAAAGATTTTAAAAACAATATTATTTGAGAAATTGCTTTGTTAACGTTCATTCTCATCATGTTTTTCCCCTCACAAACCTGCATCCCTTCATACATATTTACAGTAAACATAGCATCTCTGAGTGAACTCTGACCTCTGCCTGAAGGGTCGGCTCATTTCTGAAGCACTGAGATGGAAAACAGTCCTCTGAGCTCCAGGATTTCAGTTTTTTGTTTTTTTTTCTTTAAAGCAGACTACAAAGACAGGCACCGCAGGGCAGCTGCAGAACCTTTACACAGGAGACCTGATTCATAATTAACATATTTTACACAGGAATACGTGTTTTAATGGCTCTGTTTCTTTTCTCATAAGTATACTGGTTCCTTTCTCTATTGCAAATATTATTACATTTTCTAATGCGCATAAATATGACTTTCAAAAAGGAGCATCATCAAAACGAATCGTTATAGTCGAGCTGTTTTTCCCATCCTCCACGACGTCTACGCTTTATTATACGCTTTAATCCTGCAACTTTGGTCTGTTATCCATCACGTTTAAGTGGGAAAAAAAAAAACAATGTTAAAAAACAAAAATGTACTTCCACACAACTTTCCATGATCTTTGCCACAGCAAAGTCCTGTAGTCACGAAAACGTAATCGATTTTCCCTGTTTTTCATGCTAAAACAACATCCAGGACTAAAAACATGGTCTCAGGTGTGAGCCACGTCCTCTCTATCTCTGAATGTGGACTTCTTTTACCTTTTAAACAGGGAAAATATTAATTTAATGTACACAAACACCAATCAGGAATATTTTAAACTAGAAAGAACAATAACTGCAGCAACATGAAAAACCCGTAATATCTGTGTCCAGAAACGTTATTCAGTAGTTTAGAGTTCATGACTATTTCACGAATTTCCATGAGACTGCTGGTAATAAAACATCTTCAGCCTGGGTGACGTATGGAGAATGACATCTTTTCTCTTAGGCTTAAAAAAATATAGAAATTTGCAAATCTGTCAAGGCTTGAAAGATATCTGCTGTTACTGTACAGTATGTCATATCATATACAGTGGCTGCTTCTCTTCTTCTGCCTGTCTCTATCGCTCTCTCTTTGTCTTTGAAACGTCCACATGCACACACACATACATTATTCCTCTGCATCATCTTCCCCGCTTCCAGTACAAGCACACACACATGCAGTGGATAACTAGGCCGAGCGAATATTTTCTATGCCCCCCGCCCCCCTCCAGAGACACACTCTGTGAAGATACAGTACGACCAGTGATGGACAGACAGTGAAGAAGAGGAGAGGGAGAGAGGAAGGGTATGCAGCACCATCTGGCATCATCATCTCGTGTGTGGATGTGAGGGAGGATGTGGAGGGAGGGAAGGTCCTCTGAAGAGCCTCGGGGCTTCACTCGAACACAAATACTGTAGAGCTGTGCGCTTTAAAAACATGGACGTGTATATGTGTGTGTGACTGGAAGTGTTCATTCATGCGTGCAAGTGGGCATGTGTGTTTGTACAGGGGTAAAAGCAGGCAGGCATGCATGTGCTCATTTTAAACGTCTATAGGGCAGATTTACTAACAGGCCTGCACCCGTGGAAAACCGACTTTGGGATTTATTAAAGAGCTGCAGTGACGTTAGCAGCTGAAAGGCACGGACACGGTGGTTTTGTGTATGTATCTGAGAGCACAAAAGCTCCCCGTTAACAGGGCATTATTTAAGGCAGATAATGATGGCCAGAAGATCAAAATCAAGGCTTCAAAAACAACAATTAAACCTCCTTTATGCTAGATCAGACTAAACCCACCCTGATTCTAGCTACAAACCTGAAACACGACTTTAAATTCACATAAAATATTTTAAAAACGTGTGTTTTGCCACACACAGGCACACGCCTCCTGAACACACATACACAGATGAAGCGAGTTAATAATTTCCGATGTTTTTCCGATAGCAAATTTGATCAAAACCTCTGTAACAATATTATCAAGCAGGGTGTAGGAACTCCTGCTCTGCTGCCATCAGTGCTATCTCTACAGGAAGCTAGCTACTAGCAAGAAATCAAGCATGACTCAGATATTTAAGAGCCACATGAATACACTGCAACGCCAACATTAAGCAGTTATTAGACCTCGCCGGCTCCTCCTTTTATGCCTCAAACACCAACTTTAGTATGACTTCAGCCCCATAATTTAAACAAATAGCAACACCCAGGGCTACTGTACAGTTTTAAAAATCACAAGCAATCCTGTTTAAGACAACAAAATAAAAACAGAACCCAGCAATTGTCAAAAGAGCATATTACAGTCCATGTAACAGACATTATCTGATGCTTTTATTTGCCACAGTAAAGTGACAGTAAAGTGAATCTTTTTAGGAGATTTTGGACTGTAGATCTAAAATGACCTTTGACATCAGGAAGGTTTTATATTTTTAATGTTTTACAAAAGCCTAGTTTGAATTTTGGAGGTGGCATTGCTGTTACATTGCTTTTATTTCCCTTAATCTGTAAAAAAACAAAAAACAAACAAACTACAGTTACATGCATGTACTCACAGAAAAACTATATCCCAAAATAAAATAATAATTAAGGGACAAAAACTCAAATAATTAATCTTACTTTCTCTCTTAAACACGCCATCAACAAATGCAATGCCTACAGTGAGTTAACGAGAAACTTGAGTCATTTTCAGTCCAGCGGGATCCTTGTCACCACTTTATGCGTTAGCCGGAGGTAAAAACACAATCATCCATCATATTTCAGATAAAGTGCTCACAAAGAGAGAGTTCAGCAAAAAAGAAAAGCAGTAGCTGCTTAAAAGAGGCTGAAAAAGAAACACAAAAGGACAACAACACGGTGTTACCGGATACCTGGCCCCCCGGTGGGCAGGTAAGGCCGAATACAGAGAGGCTGATGACGCTGCCAAATGGGGACACACAAATACAAGCCTGCCCCTCCACCTCATGATTGTAAATGCATTTGACCCCCACCGTGCTATAAGGCCCCTCACCCCATCTTTAGTGACACCTCCCCCCCGGCCGGCCATCATAAATATTCCTGAACCAAAGAGCCCCAAGTATTCTGGCACGCATTCTTCAGAATAAAAGAAAAGAACTTCCACAACATGTTTACCAGCTTATAGGGTGCTGATTTCCTCATTAAAAAGATGACCTTTGACCTTTAATGGACTGCTGTTGTTTCTGCAGTAAAAAGTCACATGATGTTAAACAAGTCTGTTTCTTTTTGACCACGGTGGTTAAACAGGACCTTTACTTCACGTTATTTTAGTTTATGTCATTTGATCAACTGGAAATTTGTTATGTAAAGTGTGTTTTAATCTACTGCCTCCATTTTAGTCACTGACATGGAATAAAAACAGAAATGCCTTTTCTATGACGGGAGGGAGAAGCTAAGTACTGTTAACGCAGAGTGAAAGCCCTGAATTCAACATGTTACGTAAGTAAAAGCAGTTAACTATTATCCAGAATAACACATTAAAGTATTAAAAGATACATGAAGCTATGACTAGATTATTATCTCACATTAACCCATAAAAAACTGGATTTTATGGTTCATTAAAGGGTTGAAAACTCTGACATCAAAAGCACGTTAAAGTAATCAATTTACTGTAAAATCACTAATCCAAATGTTGTTTTCGCCCTTCAGTCTGTGTGCAAAAATCTTATTTTTAAAAATATATCTAACTAGCATTTTGAGTTTGAAACTG